TATCCATATAGTTATTTTGGGAACCCCCGAAAAATCGTGAATACCGTTATGAGCACTAGGGCCCTCTACCGCTCCCGTATAATACGACTTGCCTAGCACGCCACAATGCCGATTGCCCGTTCACAAAAAAGCTTAATCCGTTATTCTATAGATGTCGCTAGGTTATCGATTTGAGTTTAATTTTGGTTATTGGTTAATAAATAAGATGATCAGCACGTTCGACTATCAGAAATTGTTCTAATAGTATCGAGCTTTTAAAACTCCAGAAAGTTATCGGCCATTGTGTTTAAAATGTTTGTTAGTGCAGATTCCAACTATCAGAAATTGTTCTAATAGTATCGAGCTTTTAAAACTCCAGAAAGTTATCGGAGATTGTGTTTAAAATGTTTGTTAGTGCATATTTTTGTGTTGGTAATCGGTATCGGTATCGGTAAATCGCGATGGCCTATACAAATCCGAAGAAGGTGGAACCGAAGAAGCTTCTAAACTCTACCTAAAGTGTGAATTTTGCATACTTCCTCCTGGAAGGAAGGTGTAGGGGCTGCGGAAGCTATGAGGCTTTATTCCGAAGAGTATTGGAATAGACAGATCACGAATGCTCGAACCTTTGTGAGTATATTGAAAGTAAAAGAATTTCGGACTTCCATTGTCTTTATTTATTTTGATTAACCTAACATGTCGGTCAGAAGGATCACTTACCGTTATCAAGTGTAAACTCTGTGAGCTGTGAGTATGGTTCAGCATTTGAGGGATTTTGGAAGTTTGGGTCCTCAGGTGGCATCAAAGTTCAAGTGTTGTTAAGAATTGTAGTGAAGTTAAGTGTAGTGTTAAAGGCAGTTTTAAGACTGGTAAAATGGAAAAAAAAGAAAGCTTTGCAATTATATCGATCTTCTATCGGGATATCCTTTTTTAATGTTTGGTAATTTAAATTGGGAAATTGCCGATTTCCCCCGGCGGCTCTCAAAATGTCGCAATTTATTTTTAAAACTTTCAAAGTTAAATAACTCGGTTATTTTCAATTTATTTTAAAAATGGTAAAGAGAAAATATGTTTCTTTTGACCAGATCTACCACCCCTTAAAATATTTGCACTCATTTCTGGGACACCCTGTGTAGATAACCTTTACCCTTATTTTCAGCTAATGAATATTAAGAGACAAATATTAAAAATAAAATCTAAATTATAAATTTCATGGCCATAAATAGCAAACATAGGCATCTAGAAATTCTGACTTTCAAACATCCACTGCGACTAGTATTTTCATATCCAATTGTCTAGTATTAAACGTCCGAATATACATTTTCCCTGGGTTTGACCGGGTATTTGCTTATAAATGTGAACAACCGGCTACGTCGCTTCACATCGCGTGGCCGTGGAGTGGATCCAAATTCGTTCGTTTTAAAAATATTATTAGATTTGGCTATAGGCGCCCTCTGTGTCATTAATAGGGAACTGTCTCATCGAAAACATGCTGTTCCGTAAGCAATAGCCATCTGGATTATGTGTTATCGGTACTACAATGGCCTATATTATCTTATTCTACACATTTAAATTAGTAAATAAGAGCAATTTTAATAAAATGACAAGTATCGCTAATTTTCGTGACTATATTATATCTATCTTTATATAGTATGAAAAAGAGTCAAAAAAATTACCATTTTTGGCTCGTTTTTTACTCATTTTCAGAGGTCTTAGAAATATAGTAAACAGAGTTCTAAAATTATGAACATTTTAAAGTTTGTAGAACATTTTATGTAGATTCTGAATATATACACTACTGAATGCTTAGATGCCTTAGTTTTGCGAGAAAATTAATTTTTTGGACCCTTCTTTTGAGTTATTTTTGATGATGGTTAAAACGTCTCCTACATCCATGACTGTTCTCGTAAGACTACAATGGCCTATATTTTATTATTCTTAATTAGTAACTAACAGCAGTTTTAACAAAGTCGGCAGTGTGACAAAAATCTCATTTTCTGTACTTTTAAATTATATAAGTATACTTTATTAACAATAAAATTAAAGATTAAACCGGAAAGAAACATTAAAAAATATTTTAAATTACATATTTAGTTGCATATATTTTTCTATCACGAGATATATTCTGCTTAGCAAATATGGTAAACTACGTATATTTGCTCAATGTGGTTAATTTATACTGGTCAACATATTAACTTGTAACATCTACAGCTCGAGAACCAAATACGAATGCCTATCTAAAAGGATAAATGAACATATATAGACACAGCGTGACTAGTCTATGGCATAGGGCGTAATTGAGCTCCTTTTTATATGGGTTCATTGAAGCTTTAATTAAAGCATTTTCATTTAATCCTCTAGTGAATTTATCATCCTTGTATGTGTTATCACTCATTGTTCTTTAGTATTTATTGAACTAGAAAATCTTGTCTGATGAATTTTAAATTCTAAAAGTTTTTGGTAGGATTCTTTAAAGATCAACATCCCATTTTTTCCATTACATTACTTTAAATTTTACTCAATCTAGAAAAATAAAAAGAACAGATTAACTGTGTTTAAAACTTGGAATTTTATTGTATCGATTTCAAAATCGAATTCTAAGGCTCAGGGTCTTGTGTACTTCAAGATGTGCTCCAGTTTTAGCACCGTGAATTTCTTCCAATACCTGGGCAATCTTCTTCCTTGGTACCAATAACTGAGTTGTTACTGTCCTGCCATCCTGCTACCAGAGCCCTGACCAGTGCTTCGCAGCTTGTAGAAAATCGGGATATTTGCAGGGCCCTCTGTAACTCGTTGTCCTTTAATCCACTAATAAAGCACTGAGCAGCGCGTTCCTTCCTAAACCCTTCCGGTGCTTCTGGATATACTAGGTGTACCAGCCGACGTAAGTCTGCTTCAAATTCCTGCATACTCTCTCCGGACCTCTGCAGGCGTGTCTTGATCTTAGCCTGGTAAAGTTGGCGTCGAAGTTGGTCGCCATATCTTCTGTCCAATGCAGCAACCAAAGTTTGGTATTTCTGCTGTCTGAGGCTGTTCTATTAGAGACGGCATTGGTCTGGTATTTAGAAATGTCAAAAGCTTGACTTGAAAGATGACATTTTACTTTTGACAATTATGACATTTCGTGTTGATTTTTGCAAGAAGAGGAAGAACTGTCACTTGTATTATTATTTTCCTTTTCTATTTCACGAAAGTTAAAAGAGTTACCTATCTGATTCGTTCAGGTACTCATTTTAAAGAATATCAGTAACTTTTTTGACAGAGGGATTTCATATCTGCCATGTTAGTAAAAAATAACGGTCAAAATTAAAAGTTATTGAATTTATAGACTATACTATTGTATTTAATTTTTTTGAAAAAACGCGCAATATTTGTTAAATTGTAAGGCAGCGCCCCCTAGCGTCCATATTCAGAAGCTTATCTTTTAATTTTATGGTGTCATATAGAGTAAGGAACACTCTTTTAAATGACCCCTCGTTTATTGGATTCTGATCATTCAGTCTGAAGTTATTAACATTTAAATAAAGGCAGATCTAACCTTCCCCCACCACTTTATTTTAGCAGATCGGGGAAAACGGTTCTAACAAAAAAAATCCAAAATTTATTGAAGATTATGAAGCTATTATTTATAGTACCCATTATCTAGGAAAAATTCTGTAAAAATTCTATTTTCTTATTTCCCACAGCAGTTGCGCCCTTTAGCTGCCGTTTTACAAACTTGAAAATAATTTCCAACAATTTCTCATAGCCCCTTTAGTTATAAATATTTTTTTCCGTAGGCCCTACGGCTACTTTCCGAGATACAGTCGAGAGCTTTTCTTAGTGGGACACCCTGTACGTAAGTCGCATTTCATATAGCGCCGATGTTATTAACATGAATATCGGGATGACGAATTTGAACGTATTATCAAAATATACGGAAAGTATGTTTTTTTTCGCCAGGACGATGTTATGAATCGGATCTAGATAATTCACTATTTACTCAGAGTACACTCAAAATTATTTAGTATAATTTTATTAGCGTAGAAACGCGTAAAAACACACATTTGTTGCGAAACTAACGAAAACAATAAGATTGTTTACGACTACTAAGTAATTTTCGACCACTTCAGTAGAATTGTCAAAACAGTCAGGCCTTGAATATGACGTTAGCTACAAAAAAAGCATATGTTTGTGTCATATGTCAAAAATGACAGGCTTTATAAAAAATCGGAGAACACAGACTCATTGGACAATCTCATTAAGGATGTGATTATCTGCAACTTTTATCTGAAAACTTTTTGTCTAAAATAGATTATAATGGAATTAGGGATAATTTTTAAAATAGCCAAAATTTGTTTTTTTCGAAATTTCTACAAAAAAAACCACAAAACTGCAATTCTTTCCCCATTTAACTGACTATCTCCAGTAGTTTCCGAGATACTGATAGAGAACATTGTAGGAAACTCACCCTGTATATCAACATAGGTAGTAGATAAAATTTACAAGAAAGAAAACCCAGAAAAGAACAAGGGGTTCCCAAAATTTAAGCGAAAAATAAAAATATTTGAAATTTTCAATGTAAAATAACTCTTTTGGATTTATTTGAAAAACGGTAAAGAGAAAATATGGTTTTTATCGAGATTTACCAGCACTGAAAATATTTGCACTTATTTAAGACACCCTGTATAATCTCTTCAACGAATCACAACTTGCTGTTGGATCCTCCCATGAGACAGACTATATCTGTTTCAAATAATATAAAAATTCATAGTTAAGATTTTATTACATATTATTATCCATTTGTTAAATAATAAATAACAATAATTATTATTGATTACTGTTATTAATTTTTATTTCTTGTACTAATCATTGTGTTGAAGTATTTAATAGAAATATAAACGCAAAAATAGCTTTCAATATACAAAACTAATTTTCTATCTATGGACATGTACAAAATTAATATTCTACATGTAGAAAATACGGAAGATTATGTAAAATTTTCTACTTACCCAACTCTGATCTTAAGTTGATTTTTTTAGGGTTTCTATGTATGGAGGAAGAACATAATTTACAATAAAATTCACCTAGCTAAAAGAAACTTAACACAAAATATGTTTATTCTAAACCCTTTGTTGAGACAAGGCTTGCTGGATATTCAATATATGTGTTATAAAATGTCGGATTCATCGTTTGTAAATAGCATTGAAAGAGAAAATATTTGGTTGTTTTACTTCATTGAAAATCAGGTCATTATCTTAATAATTTTGAATTTAAGTTATTTTTAATTATACACGGTTATGTTATTTATGTGTTGTATCCTAATGATTATTTTTTTTAGAAATTGTAAGTAATGAAATTGTTGGAGGACTACTAGAGCTACAATTTAAAATTATTTACAAAAAGTACAGAGTGTCCCAAATAAATAAAAATATATTAAAGTTGTATTTTTTAACGAGACACCCTGTATATTATTACATTTTTAAGAATAGAAAGAACAGCAAAATAAAACACTAAATCACCACAATACACCAAAACACTTTTACTTTTACACTGGACGCGCGTTTACACTGGAAACTCTTTTTTTAGTTTTAATCATCTGCTGATGATGCTAACATGGTTAGCGAAACGCGCGTCCAGTGTAAAAGTAAAAGTGTTTTGGTGTATTGTGGTGATTTAGTGTTTTATTTTGCTGTGTAACACCAAAGGTTCCAACCCCCCAACTGTAATAGAAAGAACAGAAAAATTAATTTTTGGAATAATACATATAACTGTCACTGCTGACATATTATATGTAAATTGTTTAGCGATGAAAGATCTATGAGGGTCCAATTTTATAATTTATTATTAACTCATAATTTGTACATTACACAGTTATTACCAGAACATACATTAATTCAATTTTTATTATTTCAGATGGATAAACTAATAGTAATAAAAGATAAATTAAACGAATTCCATGATCTGGTGAAAGAAATTGTATTTAATGCATGCCACGGTGCTCTTCTTTTAAAAGGATTCGTTGTAGATGAACGACTTATAGAAGACACAAAAGGTATACTTTACATATAATTTTATACCGTATGTTGCATCGTCGACTTGAACATAGAAAATCCCATGCAAAAATTATTAATAAGTTTTCCCCATTTAATTTTACACAGAAATGTATTTCAAACTATTTTAAGGACTTAAAATGAAGCACATTGCGAAAATTTAAAATAATCCGGTCCTGGTCAAACAAACATAATAATCACAAGGTGTTTCACTATTAGAATACAAGCCCATCGAAAAAATTAACCTGTGAAATGAACCAACGTGAATAAAGCTTAGAAGGCTGTTACTATATTATAAAATAACTCTGAGCGCTATGCCGTCATTTCTGAGACGTACAGGTGAGTACGTGAGTAAATGGAATTTCTCAGGTACAAGTGAGGAATTACGACTAATTATTAATATACGGGTTTTTTATAACTTATAGATGATTAAAAATAAATGTCTAATGCCGAAAAACCTAATGCCGTACTAAAGTGGTGATGCCGGAAGTTAGTGCAAATTTTTAATTCACCGGTAATTCTAGAAGCAATATAGGTAATTTATTACTGTACGGCATTTATGTTATTCTTTTTGTATACACACGGAAAAAAATACATTTCTACTTTACACATTCTTTATTAAACTAGAAGATCAATATTAACTAGATTCAAAGAACATTTAGGTCAGATAAGATATGGTAGACCGGATAAATCTTGCGTTGCCGAACATATTGTTGATAAAGAACATTGTATAGATCTTAATAATTTAAAATTAATTAAACAAGTGTCAAATTACAGGCAATTAGATGCATATGAAAGCATCAGAATTAATAAATGTAAAGATAGTATGAACAGAGACAACGGTCCAATTCCTTCAAGTTCTTTGTTCCTACTACTCTAGTGGCGGAAATCTAACTGTTACGCTCAGTGGGCTTTGACTCGGTTGACTAGATGTTGCCACGCCCCCTCAGTGCCCACTGAGCGAGTATATAAACGCTCAACTTGTAGATTGTACTTTAGTTTATAATCATCTGCTGATGATGCTGACATGGTTAGCGAAACGCGTGTCCAGTGTAAAAGTAAATGTGTTTTGGTGTATTGTGGTGATTTAGTGTTTTCATTTTGCATTCTTTAAGGATAGTATTCTTTCCATGAGTACAACAAATATTTGGATCTATTTTACTTTTACACTTGCTTTTTAAATATAATGATAGTCACTGTGTATACTTAGTGGACTGTATTTAAATAAAGATTATGCACTTTTTACTTATTATTTATTGTTTAAAACTGCAAAATACATTAACAAACTGGGTTACGACGTGAACGCTTCTAGGGGTAGCGGAAGAGAGAGAGAGAGAGAGAGAGAGAGAACAATATATTCTTCTTCTTAAAGTAAAAATAGGTCTAAATCGCCAAAGGCACTGCCACATTACATATTTAAATATTGCGTCTTATGACGGAACAATCACTTTAAGAAATTTTGCATCTAAAAAAAGAATAAAATTACTTATATTTAAGAAAAACTTATATTACTATCAAGTGAATAAATTATTTTGCAAAGAAGAAACTATTATTAAATGAAGTATAAATACTTCTATATAATAAGTATTCTTAACTTTTTTAAAACTTTTACTTGAAATCGGTGTATACTTTAAATAAGAACATTATTCTCGGCGCGAGAATAACATCCCATTTCCAAGAGTTACTATTCTTATATTAAGTGACCATCCTCAACAGCAACAACGCAACGTGCATTCCTGATTCCTACCTTTATTTCATTGGGTATCTGTTTCTCTCATGCGACACGAGACGCGCCGACTAGCCGGGTAGTTTATAAAGTTTTTCTGTTATAGTTTGTGTTTGTGATATGTGAAAATGGAGGACTTTCTTCAGGCATGGGAGATGACGGATTTGATCCCAAAATTTCAAGTTAAGTTTAGCAATAATCTTACATTATTTGATGACATTGGTTTGAGGTTAGGGAGACTCCATTTTAATATGCATTATTTCTTATACACTGGTGGTAAACTAGGTATGTACGCGTTTAGAATGATTCAATTATGTTTTACCAATTTTTATTAACGTTTCTCGTTTTTAATTAGCGATGCCGCTGTTCAATATCTACCTATGTTGGGTAATTACACAGTTTTATTGTATTTTCTTATTACGAAAAGCATATAATTTGGTAAGTGATGTTTGGCTAATCTAATTTAAAAAGTATTAACCCTATTCGGCCGGGGCTATTGTGGTGATATTTCAATATTCCATACCTATTGTAAATGGAAATTAAAATTTTTAGCATGTCCCAACTCTATGATATTCATGTATGTTACCGAACAAACCCGATTTTAGGATAAACTAATTTTTTTCCAAAGAGACGCGGGTTTGAAAAACTATTATGCCGCGCTTAAAGACTTTAGATAAGGAAAAGATTTTACCAAAACAAGAGTTTCTAACAAGATCGAACCCGAACCACCGAAAGCATAGGGTTACAACACGTTACCGAATTTTGTGAAAATTATATAGTTTTTCGAACCCGCTTAATATTCGGCCTAGGAAAAACTAGTTTATCCTAAAATCGGGTTTGTTTGGTTCCGAAATAATTCATATTAAAGTGGAGTCCCCCCTAACTGCAACCAATGTCATCAAATAATGTAGGATTATTGCTAAACTTACTTTGAAATTTTGGGATCAAATCCGTCATCTTCCAAGCCTGAAGAAGGTCCTCCATTTTCACATATCACAAGCACAAACAATAACAAAAAAATTTATAAACTAACTAGCGTGTACCAGCGACTTCGTTCGCGTCGAGTTAATCATTTATAGTGGTGATGATAAAGCAAGAATTTCCATTAACATACAAACTGGATAAAATTTTCTCACATTTATGTCAGCATGAGAAAAAACAATATGGCGATATTATTATATAACTTGGTAATATTTGAGGGGTAGTTTCATCTCGTTGGAATTTGACTTTCGAAAAATCCGTTTGCCAAAAATAAACTTTTTACCTCAAGCAGTTTAAGCAGAATCGTGGTTAAGAAATTACCCAACTTTAGAAATTACCCAAACCAAACCAAACACCCTGTATGATTTTTTAAAAAAATTCAAAATATGTAAAAAAACCAAATAAATTATGCTTGTCCAAGCGTTTTCCCGAAAGACTAACCGTTTTTTAAATAACAAATATTGTAATATTTGAGGGGCGTTTTTACCCTAATGGAATTTGAGAATCGAGAATCCCCTCCTTATCGAACCTCTACACCCCACAGTCAAAAAATTAGCTTTGAACGTCAAGCAGTTTCAGCAGAATCGTGATTACTCAATGGTCATATTTTATGAAACACCCTGTATAAATTTATAAAAAATCTTAAAATATGTAAAACAACAAAAATTAAATATACGTGTTTAAGAGTTTTTCCGAAAAACTCACCAGTTTTTAAATAAAAAATATTTTAATATTTGAGGGATGTTTCACCCCCTTAGAATTCGAGTTTAGAATTTTTAGAATTTAGAATGAGTGGGAGGGGGGTTAATCACTTCGACCTTACAGATCCATTGTGTCCCCCTTTCTTGAATCGTAACTCATCATACAGTCCCAGGGCTTTGACAAAAGCCAGTATCTGGGACGGTTTTATAGAGGGTAGTTCTCCATCTCCAATATCAGTCGTACCAAAGTTCATGGCACGAATGGTTGTCGTCTCGGCGCACTCAGTGATGAGGTATACTGGTGTTTCACCATCTTCCCCACAGAATCTGCATTCGCCGTTTCTTCTTAGTTTCAATCTACTGAGGTGTTCATTGAGGAGACAGTGCCCTGTTAAAAACCCCGTGACAATCCGAAGATTGTTCTTACTCAGACCCAGGAAGATCTGTGATTTTTCTTGATCATAAGCCCTCAGATTCGAGTTTCGAAAAATCCCTTCTTATCGAACCTCTGCACCCAAAAATCAATCTGTTTTCTAAAAATCAGCTTTTTACATCAAGCGCTTTAAGCAGGATCGTGATTAATCAATGACTAGATTTTTCGAAATACCCTGTATACATTTTAAAAAATATTAAAATATGTAAAAAAAACAAAATAAAATATACGTGTTTAAGCGTTTTTTCGGAAACTTGACCGTTTTTTAATAAAAAATATTGTAATATTTGAGGGGTGGTTTCACCCTCTTGGAACTGGAATTTCGATAAATCCCTTCTTATCGACACCCTCTACACCCTAGAATCAACCTGTATGCCAAAATTGAGCTTCTTACGTTGAGTGGTTTGAGCAGGATCGTGATTAATCAGTATGTCAGTCACTTAAGGATTTTATATATTAGTATAGATCATTAGACAGTACGATATACTCGATTAGAGATCACTATATACTTAAAGTAGGACTAAGGCTCCGCGCGCACTGCATCGGATCGGACCGACCAGTAAAAGCTACTGCGACCATCGTACATATAGACGGCGTCGGCGTCCACTAAAACATTTCGGCCTGTAGAGGCCAGATTCCTACCTCTACCTATCTACGATAGTCGAGTCACCGCCTTCGTCGTTTCTCGCCGGACTGGTACCGATTCAGTGCGCGTACACCTTAAGGGGATTTGAAACAATAAAAAGTAAAGTTCAATAAAGATTAAGTATACCTTTTTAGAAAATATGATATTTTATATGCAAAACTTACTAATCTCTAGTAGTAATCTCAAGTCTAGTCAACTCTTGTAACGATAGTAACTAACCTAAGAGTAAGAAGAGGCTTTATTTCAGAACAAAGTAATTATTACATGTACACAAAGAATTTCTATACTTAATGCAATAATTTGCTAATTTACAAATAAGTATAAGTAGTACTCGAAACAAGATTTTATCTAGAATTGTCTGGAGTGTAGTTATACTCTTAATTTCAATACTAGGCAAATCTTAAATAAAAGATAAATTTTCTTAGCTTCTAAGGATAAGATTATCTTGAAAAGAAGTATAACTAGATTTGCGGAATGGGGAAACTAGCATATCGTTGGTTCAAGATTAATAATCTTTAAGCCAGTTTAGCTT